AGGTCAACAGGACTGAAAGCCCTTCCGCAGCCACAAACGTGGACAAGAGATGGTGATGGAAGGGTAGAGAAAAGCGATCAGACTGCAACAGCATCGGACTGTTAGTGCAGGACCCGGTGAAGGTCTGCATCAAAGCAGAAGGTGCATTCCAGGGAGGAGCAGGCAAAAAGAGCCATGAGCACAGGAAGTAGGTCTACTTTCTCAACCACTTCAGCGCTTCCTCACTGTACCCTCTGTTCTCTTCCTTCCCAACTGGAGACAAATGCCACAGGAGCAAACCCACTGCTCCACTTGTAGCCCTGGGTTACAGAGAACGCTGTCCCCTTGCTTTTGCCTCCCAAGCCCCTAGCGGCTCTGTTGATGGACTCCAGCAGGCTCCGTTTGTAAAACAAGGAATTTGGAGTCGCTGGGGCAGATGGCTTAAAAGAAGACACACAGGGCACTGTGCAAGCCCAGTTCTGTATCAGTCCCCTGCGCCCCCGTCCCCCACAAGCACTTGCCATGGCCACGACCGGCCCGGAATTCATGTACTTCACCAGCCCCGGGAAGAACGGGCGGTCCTTCAGGTCAATGTAGTGCTGCTTCAGGTGTTCCTCCGAGGCCTGGCGTTGAACAGAAGGTTGTCTCAGGAAGTAAACTGGAGAGGGTCAGGCATGGCTCCATCCCGCCCCCAGAAGCTCCCAGTCACAGGGCAGCTTTTCCCAACGTCCAGTTACATACACTAACCCGCATGCATATGTAAATGTGCGTATATAAAATAATAATAATCGTACGCAAACCCCGACACCCTTTGGGCAGAAAGACTGTTCCGATCATGAAGACACCCTCATAATGTCCACGGCGTTGGGGATGTTACAACCCTAAGGAGCAGGTGATTTGAAAATCTACAGGTGGAGGGTTAAGCGCTGGCTGCCGTTGAAGGAAATACACCAGAGAGAGGTCCGCTTCCGGTGTCCTTGTAAACTTTCCAGATGTTAACTGAGAATGTTCTCCTCTTCCCAGCTGGGCTTGGTTAACATTTCAACACTTCTCCCTTAAAGTCCCGATCTGTGCCCCCACCTGTAGCTTGGAAGTGACCCGCACTGCCCTGAGCCGGACTGCCGCGAGAGGGCCCCCCCCCCCCACCCCGGCCAGGCACGAGCAGTCCCCGCGGGCCAGGGCCAGGGCCAGGGCCAGGGCGGGCGTCACGTCACCTCCGCCTAACCTTGCTGAGGGCGCCGGGGCTGCGGGCCTCGGGGCTGGGCTCGGGCGGCGGGGAGCGGAAGCCGGAGCACCGGGACGGCGCGCCCCGTTACCTGCATGAGCTTCATGGCCACGAGGCGGAACCCCTTCTGCTCGAAGCGCTTGATGATCTCGCCCACCAGGCCGCGCTGCACGCCGTCCGGCTTCACCGCGATGAACGTGCGCTCCTGGTGGGCCATGGCCTGCGGGCGACAGGGCGGCTCAGGGCCCGGCGGCCGCGGGACGCGGCCCGCGCCTCCCCCACCGCGCGGGCGTCCCGGGGCCCCTCCGCCCGCTCCGCGGGGACACGCGCCTCCCGGCCGCCGCCCTGCGGGAGGGGACCAGGCGCCGGGCCTGGGGGTGGGGGTGGGGTGCGCGGGGGAGCGCGCCGGCGGGGAGGGGCAGGGGGGCGACGGGGGAACGCGCCCGCGGCGTCTTACCGGGAAGCTGGCTGCGCGGCGTGGAGGGGGGGAGGCGCGACGTGGAGCGGCGGCGGGGCCCCGAGGCGCTCGGGGGGGAGGGCCCTGCGACGGCCACACCCCGGACGCCCCGCCGCCCAACCCGCGAGGCCGCCGCGGCCCCAGGCCCCTGTCCACGCCGCGGCCTCGTGGGGGAGTCTGGGGGGTTGGGGGGCTCCGGGGAGGGAAGTGGCTTTTCTGTGCGAGGTCCCCGCGGCCCGAGCCCCGCACGTCCAGGCCGCGCCCCTCCCTTCGGTTCCTCCTGCTCACACACACACACACACATACACACACACACTCTCTCTCTCTCTCTCTCTCTCTCTCTCTGTCTGTGTCTCTGTCTCTGTGCCTCCTGCCGCCACACACACACACACACACACACACACACACACACACACACACAGTGAGGTCAGGTTCTCCAGTTGAGCCTGGGACACACCCCTGAGAAGATTCTGGAGTGTCCCACAGCAGACTTGTCATGTTTGCAGACGGCTCCCGCTTGGTCTCCCCACCCTTGGTGGCACCCAGCTCCCGGAAGGCGGCGGGCCCCTCCCCTCGGCCCTTCCAGACCCCCATCCAGCAGCGCTTGTACCCCGAGACGGCCGGAGCCCCGTGTCTGCCTCCCCTCAGGACAGTGCCCTGTGTCCTCACCCTAGGGCCCCCCGGCACCGCACTGGCACCCTGTGCCTGCTAGACGGAAACCCGGCTTCAACACCCTCCCTTTCGACCTCAAACTCTGAATTCTTCCTTCTAGTTTCTCTATTAACTCCGGCAAAAGAGGCGGCTGGCCGGCATCCGTGAGGGAAGCAAACCCCAACCCCCGCCCCCCAGCAACAAGAACTGCCCCGAGCCAGCAAGACCAGGGGGACTGACCCCAAGACAGTGAGCCATGACCTTCACTGCTCATCTGCAAGTCCCTCCCCCCACCCCCCGACCTTTGTCCCACATTCGCCTTCTTTGAGAGAACCTAGATGGCTCTGTCAGTTGAGTGTCCAACTCTTGGTCTCTACCCAGGTCTTGATCTCAGGGTGGTGAGTTTGAGCCCCGCATTGGGCTCCACGCTGGGTGTGGATACATTAAAAACAAAAAAGCAATGGGGCGCCTGTGTGGCTCGGTCAGTTAAGCCTCCGCTTCTTGATTTCAGCCCAGGTCATGATCTCCTGTCCATGAGATCGAGGCCCACATCCAGCTCTGCGCTAACAGCGTGGAGACCGTTTGGGATTCCCTCTCTCCCTCTCCTGCACTCTTTCTCAAAATAAATATACATGTGCTTTTAAAAATGTTTTAAAATTAAGTAGAAGCAAAAAATAAAAACAAACAAAACAACAAAACAGAAGACCTGGAAGTATTTTCAGAAGACCGTCTCTGAGAGAGGCCACTGCCTTCTGGGTGTTGGCCACCCTGGAACAAATAAATCCCCATCTTGTTTCCCTGAGACTCCCCTCTGCCTTTGGGTCATGTGGGTGCTGAGCGGTGGAACCTGGTCTGTATGGGCCCCCAGAGCCGGGTGCCCTCGCACCCCCAAGTCCCAGCTGCAAGATGAGAATCCAGCCCTCTGTTACACCTCGATGGCTCCCCAAACTTCTAGTCACAGAGCTTTAACACATGGCCCTCATTCTGGAGAAGGGATGACCAGTGTTCCCTTTGGCTGCGAGGCCAGCATGAATTTGGACTTCTTTTTCAGAGTTACCCCATGCCAGCTGTGGGAAGGAGGCTGGGCCTCTCACTGGACAGCCGTTTGCCCCTCTGGTCCCATCGCGAGGACCCTCCTGCTGTAGCAGCCCTCTGCCTCCCTTCCCTGTCCTTCCTGGAGAGCCTGCCCTTAGCTGGGCAAGGTGTGACACCAGCCCCCCGCCCCCCCATCCCCCCACTCCCGCCTCACGACACACATACTCATTCCCCAGAGGTGCTGGCCTCTCTCTCTCACTTCATCTCTCTCCCCCCAAAACAAGCAGGGCAGGCTTTGTGTGAAATAGAAATGCATCTGGTCCTCAGCTGGCCAAAAACAAAGGTAGTCCCTCTTAGAGGAAATCCTTCCATAAAGCATGCACAGGACAACTCTCATTGCACACTGTAAATCATCTCTGCTGGGTCAGGTACACCCCAGTAAAGCCGGGAGGACAAGGAAGCCTCCATCCCAGCTCCCCTCCCCTCCCCTCCCCCCCCAAGCCCGGTGCACAAGGAACATACCAAGAAAGAAAACCTGGTCAAGTTTATGGTGGAAGTCGTAGTCCCCAACGTGTTCTCACTTTCCTCCTCAGAGAGGAACTCCTGAGTACTATCCAGGCACGAGGCAGCCCACATAAAAAGGCGAATGCAGGGCTACACCCTTGAAAGAACGCTCCAGTCCCCTTCCCTACTGCTGTTAGGCACACGGGTGGTAACCCACGCTACACTGGTTAGAAGGAAATGCGCCACCAGATGACCTCAAGGCTCAGAACCGCCCCCCCAACTACCTCTACTTAGCTACTTGGAACTGTCCGGGTTCCTACAGCTTCACTGAGGAATAACTGACAGATGGCACTCAGGTATACAACTTGGCTTTTCGATTTACATGTACTGTGAAATGATCACCACAATGACGCTAACGAAAAGATCGATCACTTCACATGGTTGCCGTTTTTATTTTTGTGTGGGGAGCACACATACGCTCTACCCTCCTAGCAAATTTCAAACAAACATACAGTATTGGGGACGAGAGTCAAAGTGCTGTACATTTGGTTTCTAGTTTAGACTTTTAAATAAAAGGTAAGTAAATCTCAGGGTGCCTGGGTGGCTCAGTCGGTGAAGTGTTGGCTCTTGGTCTCAGCTCTGATTGTGATCTCACAGTTTGTGAGTTCGAGCCCCCATTCGGGCTCTGTGCTGACAGTCCAAGAGCCAGTTTGGGATCCTGTCTCTCTCGAAGAAAAAAAAAAAAACTTTAAATATTAAAGGAAAAAGGTAAGTAAAATTTCCAGCTTGCCCGTTAAAGCAATCAGTACCCTAACAAATCAAAGCCACTTACAAGATTTTACCGTTAAGAGTGAGCTCGTGCGTGTGCACACTCGTGGGTGAGGGGCCGAGAGGAGAGACAGAATCCCAAGCAGGCTCCACAGTATCAGCACAGAGCCCCATGCAGGGCTTGAACTAATAAACCATAAAATCATGACCTGAGCCGAGACCAAGAGTCGGGCGCCTAACTGACTGAGCCCCCCAGACACCCACCACTGGCTTCTTTTAAGGTCATCCCAGGGGCCCAGGCCCACTGTCCACACAGCTTTCCTGTTACGCAGCAGTTACAACTTCTCACACTCCCCTGTCCACAGAGTCCCTGAGAGCTTCTCAAGAGCAGAAAGGGTTTTATTTCCAATGAATCCTCTGCAGATTCCAGCAGACCCTTCCTGGGTGGCTGCTGACTGGCTCAGTGCCAAAAATGGATGAAGAGAGGGGCAGGCAGGGGTGGGGGGGGTGAGTGTGCGTGTGTGTGTGAGAGAGATCCCTCAGGTCAAAAAACACAATTTCTACAGTATTTACCCTGTTGGCTCAGTTATCCAGAGTACAAGGAAAGGAAAAAGAATACAAAGCAATAGGGCGATGCCAAGTAACCAGCTCCGTGATCCTGTGTTGGGGTGAAACATTTTAATCCGATGGTAGCACAGAATACTGTACAGGGAGCACTCCCAGCTCCAGGAGTTCCCCTCCGGAGTATAAGGAAGGTCTCAAAAAGAACCGGCTTTGCTGGAGCCTGGCCCCCTGCTCCCGGGCGGGGGGGGGGGGGGGGGGGGGGGGGGGGGGGGGGGGGGGGGGGGGGGGGGGGGGGGGAGGGGATGGGGCGGGCAGGGCACCGGGGTCTGCTCCCTCGTCACTCGTAGATCCAGTTCTGAGCGCAGCTCTTGTAATCCACCAGCTCCTCAGGCCGAAACCACAAGCCGATTTCCTTCTCTGCACTTTCCACGGAGTCGCTGCCGTGGATAATGTTCCTGGGGGTGGGGGGAAGAGGGGGACGAGAGGGCCACATTACTGCCACCGCAGCAGAAAGAGCCAAAGCTCCATGTAAGCTAGCTCCGGGCAACAGAGTGTGGGCCACGGAGTGTGCTGAACCAGGCCCCACCGTCTCGAGAGAGGCACAACCATAGCGATGTCAATGGCCTGCGGCAGAGCGCTCGCTAAGCCAGACACCAAATTCAGAGGGAGAAACACAATGAACCGATCTTAAATTCAACTGCATATGGCATCATGTCCATCCCAGACTCAGGAACCCGAATTCTTTTCTATATTTTTCATTTCTAAGTAGGCTTCATGCCCAGGGCAATATCCGACACGGAGCCTGAACTCCCCAGCTGTGAGATCAAGGGTTGGACACGTAACCGACTGAGCCACCCAGGTGCCCACCCCCGCTTTTTTTAAGAGATTTTTAAAAAAAGTAATCTCTACACCCAACATGGGGCTCCAATTTACAACCCCAAGGTCGAGAGTCACATGTTCCACCTACTGAGCCAGCTGGGCACACGAGGAACCCGAATTCTCATGTCACCTAACTCAGATTTTGGAAGGAGGCAAAAAGCAGCGACTCGCACCTGCCAACTTGGATGCAGAAGTCTCCACGGATGGTGCCGGGCTTGGAGTCCGCAGGGTTGGTCTCCCCGAGCATCACCCGGCCCGTCTTCACCACATTCAGCCCCTCCCAGACCTCCGAGGAGAAAAGAACACATGGTCAAGGAAGAAAACCACTCTCGGCAGAAAATCTGAAAATTATTCATTCAAAAAAACAAAGCAAAACAAAACAAAAGCCCCCTTAACACTGAAGAGATGTTCACAGAGCATCTACTTACTCCCAACATAAGAGGCGGGTGTCCCTGCCTCCACTCCTGCCTTTCCACCACCCATTCTGAGAAGAGCAGTCTTTAAAAATGCCCAGCGTAACACCTCCCACGGCACGCGCCCCAGAGCCCGTGAAGTACGAGGCCAGCACAGCCCCACCTGACCTGGCCCCTGCCCTCTGAGCTCATCTCTGAGCTCATGTCATCTGACCTTCTCTCTTACCCACCAGGCCTCAGCTGCTCCAACTCTCTTTCTGTGCTTCAAAAGCCCAGGCCCTCTGCACAGGCTGCGTTCTGGCTAAGAACGCAGTTCAGTGTGATTTTGTGTGGGTCTGGCTCCTTCTTCTCAGATCTCAGCCTGAAAAGCACATCCCTTGACTACCCAATCTAAAGTGGTCACTTGTCACAGCACCCTATTTCATTTCTGTGCAAATCACTGAGCACTAGCTAATATATGTATGTATTTCTTCATTACCTGCCCATCTTCCCCTTCAAGATGTGTAGGCAAGGAAAGCTATGAAAGTAAGTACCTATGCTGTCTCATTCATGACTGGACCCCCAGTGTCTAGAAGAAAGTGTGGCACAGTGAGAATTACTGCAATAAGCAAGAGACAAGGTGCCTGCCCTCCAGAAGCGTAGAATCAGGCAGATGCTCCTGATCACTCTCAGCTCTGAGTCGCTCTGAGTCTTCAGTTCAGCAAACAAATGTATTTTGTCTTTGGTGGGTCGGAAAGCAAACTCACACCCTAACGGTCCAAGCCTCCCAGCCGTCCCGGCACCCACTCCCTCGGTATTAAGTGAGGACTTGGCATCAGAGGCAGGAATCGCAACACACCCTCTTGGCCCCCAACTGAGTTATTCACATCAATACCCTCACACCTGCGTACTCACCATGGCAACCACAGGCCCCGACTGCATGTACTTCACCAGGCCGGCAAAGAACGGACGGTCCTTCAGGTCAATGTAGTGTTCCTTGAGAAGGTCTTCAGAAGCCTATGTCACGGGACAGAGAATGAGAATTGGCCCGCAGACTATCTAAGAATCAGCCATCTAGTTATTGCCCATTCACTGCTGTTTGAAATGTGAGCCTTAGGGGTGCCCAGGAGGCTCAGTCGGTTAAACGGAGGACTCCGGCTCAGGTCATGATCTCACGCTTTGTAAGTTCAAGCCCCACGTCAGCCTCTGTGCTGACAGCTCAGAGCCTGGAGCCTGCTTCAGATTCTGTGTCTCCCTCTCTCTCTCTGTCCCTTCCCCACTCTCACTCTGCCTCTCTCTCTCTCTCAAAAATAAAGATTAAAGAAAATTAAAAAATAAATGATATGTGAGCTCTTAGCTCACTGATTCAGTTACAACCCAATCCATTCCCAACACTCTCAGAGGGGAGCAGTGCCAGAGACTAAAAGTGTGTCAGCTTTGTACCAATTTCCCCTCGACTGGCCTTGATTGATCGAAAAAGAACCACAGAATATTAGAATTAAATCCAGCCATCCCACTCCAGACAGGAAAACTAACAATACAATGAATTTCCATTCATTGAGAGCAAGCCTCAACTAACACATGAAAAGGAAGTGGGGTTGGGGAGAGGGGTCTTGGCATTCGATGGGAAGCAAAGTGAATCAGGCCAGTTCTCAGGGATACTTCACATTCATTCAGAAGATGAAGGCCGGGTGTGGTAACTATGCAATTTCCACACAAACCACTCAAAAGAACATGACATGTGGGGCACCTGGGTGGCTCAGATAGGGGAGCGTCTGACTGCTGGTATTGGCTCAGGTCACGATCTTGTGGTTTCATGGGTCTGAGCCCTGTGTTGGGCTCTGCACTGGCAGCATGGAGACTGCTTGGGATTCTTTCTCTTTCTCTCCCTCTCTCTCTGCCCCTCCCCTGCCTGTACTGTCTCTGTCTCTCTCAAAATAAATAAATAAAACTTTTAAAAAAGAACATGACATCTAGCAATAAGTAACTTCTCTGAAGAAGGAACTAGAAACTGTCACACTGCAAGGCCGGTATGTGGGACCAAATCAAGTTAGCTGGAGACCAAACCACCCGCTTAGCACTCCCGACTGGCTCGGCTGTGTTCCCTCTTCGCCACCGCACACACGCGTGTTCAGGGTCCAGAAGGACCCTTGGTGCCCCCAGTTCTGCGGTGCCGCGCTGTGGAGGGCACACGGGGCTATACTCGCAGGCATGGGGATCTGCTGCCAAAAAAGCACATCCAGAACATCCTCCCGTTCAGCCCTGGCTGCTGCTGACTTGCCAATGTAGGATCACACAGCACGTGATCATTCACGTTAGCAGATCACCCTCTCCCACCCCCCACCCCCCAGACCAAATCCAAGACTGGTAGTGGCGGCCTCCTGACACACAGGGACTTGACCTTCCCTTACCGGATGACTCTCTTAATTCTAGCAATCGGTGCTGATTATCTTTAATCTGCACAACAGATGACAGCATTTTTTCTGGAGGAGGGGGACATCAAGTTTTCCCTCCTCCCCATCACAGGTAAAAAACCCTGACTCAAGGCAGCCAACCCTCCCCCCAGTCTTCACCAAGCCCACGCCCTTGATAGGAACTTGGTGTCACAGAAAAAAATGCACACACTTAGGAGTCAGAGAGATGCGGGTTAAAATCCTCCCCGGAGCATCACTGGCTTCTTGTCTTCCGATTCATTACTTAACCTCTCCAGGCCCCAGGTTCCAACTACAGAGATAAGTAGGCCTCTGGGCGGTCCTGAGGGCTAAAGGAAGCACGCGTGTCCAGCCCAAGGTCAGTGCCTGATCCACAACACCGTTCATTTCGCTTTACCTTCAAAACCTAATTTAAGACACAGACTGTCTAGAAAGCAGTGCTGACCCAATACCCGGCGCAGGCCATTCCATCACATGCCTCCCTCTGCATTAACACCCGTCTAACACCCCCCCTCACACACACACACAATACTAAAGCAGTTTTCCCAAAACATCACGCAGGAACTAAGTTGCAAACCAACCTAAATGTAAAATGCCCCAGCAGAATCCAAAGATGACCCTAGTGATAGAAAAAAAGACTGTCCCCTAATTTATGTGCTTTGAGATTTGAATCCTGTCTAAACAAGGGTTCTTGGCCAATTAATCCTTTTCATTTTTTAAAAATACTGTTCGGCAGGCGTCTTGCAAGTGTGTGTGGTCTCTACAGTTTTCGAGTGGGCTTCCCCAAGGGCAAAACCTCAGCTTTCCCCCCAACATTCCCCTATGGTGCCTAATATATGCTACACACTAAATAAGGACAGAAAGATTTCCTTGCTGATAAACCACCTGCCTCAGACAGGGAGGTGGGGGAGGGGAGAAGGTCTCTGAAATAATCTGTTCAGGAAGCTCCAACCAGGAGCTCAAATGCGCCCAGGGGCTTTGAGTCAGAGATCACAGTGCTGGGTGACAAACGGAACCCTGCATTGCTTAAGGGAAAAGGGAGAGAGTGGATCTCCAAAAGCCATGGTAACTGGTTTGTTGCAGGCCGGCCACAACGCTAGCCACCGAGTTGTTTCCAGGTTTCAGGACATCTGTGTTCACCCTGTCGTCCCATCATGGGGAAGACTAAAAAGGAGGGGAGAGGAGAAACCGAGAGGCTCACGTGCAACGTTCCCCTGGACTCCAACAGAACAGAACTATGGAGAAAAAAAGACCACTTACCTGAATTAATTTCATAGCAACGAGGCGGAACCCCTTTTGCTCAAAACGCTTGATGATCTCTCCCACGAGGCTGCGCTGGACCCCATCAGGCTTGATGGCAATGAAGGTGCGTTCGCTGTTGGCCATGGTCCTGAGGACGGACAGCCGCGAAGATGAAACAGCGCTGAATATCCTGCCTGCATCATTATCCTTCTCGAGCGGATTACCCCATAAAGCTGGTTTATATCCGTCACTCCCACTCCAAAAGTCTCTCTGGTAAAAACCCAGCTCCTAGTGTTTACCACACAGGGCTACTTTTAAGACACATTTTAGAGATATTATGTATAAACACCATTCCTAACAACGGAAGTTGTACACACCAGTAAGGATTGTGCTACTGCAGAGTATGAATGTGTTCATAAGTGCTGCTCTGAAAACACTCTAGAAGAGCACATGTATAAAAACTGTTCCTAAAGGGAGCTCCTGGGTGCTCAGTCAGTTAAGTGTCTGACTCTTGATTTCAGTTTCATGAGTTCGAGCCCCACATCGGGCTCTCTGATGACCACGTGGAGCCTGCTTGGGATTCTCCCTCTCTCTCTGCTCCTCCTCCCACTTGCACTCTGTCTCTCTCAAAATAAATAAACTTAAAAAAAAGAGAGAGAGAGGGGCGCCTGGGTGGCTTAGTCGGTTAAGCGTCCGACTTTCGCTTAGGTCATGATCTCGCGGTTCGTGGGTTCGAGCCCCGCGTTGGGCTCTGTGCTGACTGCCAGCTCGGAGCCTGGAGCCTGTTTCAGTCTGTGACTCCCTCTCTCTCTGACCCTCCCCTGCTCATGCTGTCTCTCTCTCTGTCTCCTAGAAATAAATAAAACATTAAAAATAATAATAATAAATAAACATTAATTAAAAAAAAGAGAGAGAGAGAGGTGCCTGGGTGACTCAGTTAGTTGACTTTGGTTCAGGTGATGATGACCTCACAGTTCGAGAGTTCAAGCCTCACGTCAGGCTCTGTGCTGACAGCTTCAGAGCCTGGAGCCTGCTTCGGATTCTGTCTCTCTTCTCTCTCTGCCCCTCCTCACTTGTACTCTGTCTCTCTCAAAAATAAAATAAACTAGGGCTCCTGGGTTGCTCAGTCAGTTAAGCGTTCGACTTCAGCTCATGTCATAATCTCATAGTTCGTGGGTTTGAGCCCCGTATCGGTCTCTGGGCTGACAGCTCAGAGCCTGAAGTCTGCTTCGGATTCTGTGTCTCCCTCTCTCTCTCTCTCTCTACCCTTCCCCCACTAGTACTCTGTCTCTCTCGGTCTTTCAAAAATAAATACATGTTTACAAAAAAAGAAAAAAGAAAAGAAACATAAAAATAGAAAGACAATTTGCTAAAAAAATAATAAAGTACCTAAAGGAAAAAAAGAATCTTCCCTAAGAGAGAGGGAAAAAAAGCAAAAACAAAAATCTAATTCCTCCTCAGTCCCCTTATCTCTGAACTGATATCCCAGGACGGGGAAGGGTGAGAAGCGGGGACTGTGATTTCTATCGCATTTGACTTAACAAGCTTCCATTAAGCATCTACTTTGTACCCAACACTGTGGCAAAACTAAGGTAGGCGAGGTTAAAAAAAAAAAAAGAAGAAGAAGACATTTTGTGAATAATCCTGAGAAAGGAGCCACAGTGATCAAGCGGCGTCAGGTAAAAAGCAGAATGAAACAGTCTGATCTACTACCACAGTCATGGTTTTGGAACTGAAAGGGGTTTTAGAGATTATTTTGTTAGAATCCCCTTCATTTCAAGAATGAGAAAACAAATCTAGAGCACCGGAATGAGGGCCAAATTCCCAACTTCCCAACCCGATGCAATTTATGTTACATCATAAGACGTCCTGAAGATTCTGACAAACCAATAAAAGAGGGATCCTGGGAGAACCAGAGCCATTAGTACTATGTGAGCCGGGACTTCATGCAGGAAAGAAGCCTAGAGAATGTCTAGCCCAGACCTTGCCTTTTGCAGAGAAGTCTGCGCTCAGGACCTGCTCTGCCTCCACAGGATGAGAATGGAGGAGGCCCCTGACCTTGAATGGCAAACCCTAACGTGGATCGCCAAACCACCTCCTGGCTCTCTCTTCCAGTCCTTTAACCTGATTACAGCCCCTTAATATATTTGAATTTTCTGTCTGTGGGTCTGTCTCCCCACTGGTCTGCGGCCTGTATACAAGGCCGGTTTACTCCTGTGTCTGTCCCTGGCACCTAGCCTCCTGGCCTAGCACTCAAAAAGAGCAAAGAAAACGTCTTAAGTGGTAATCACCTTGCACCTCCGAGAAAAAGAGACAAAGCCCAAGGGCTGGCGGAGAACTCCCAATGGAAGCTCGAGACAGGCCGAGATTCCCCAGGAGAAAACGGGGCTAAAGAGCCACAAAGTGTCCCTATACCCATACCGTGTATACGTATAAATGTCTTCCATACCAACCCAGACACACACACCCCTATCATTCATTCATTAAGAAAGAACCTACTAAGCCCCAACTCCGTGCCCAGCACTGCAAGCGACAGAGACAAATAAGGCACAACCCCGGTCGTCGCGGCCCGATGGGAAAGGCAGCCTCGGACAAAGGCGAGTCCACGTGGCGTGGGACCTGAGCTGACAGGTCTGCACGGGTCCCCCGGCGCTGCCCCGCCCTTCCCTCCCATCCCTCTAGCCACCTCTCGGAGCGGAACTCATCCGACCCCTTGGCCTCCCGTCCTCCGACCACGCTGCTCTCCCCTTCCTCTCAGGCCCCCAAACCCATCTTACCCCTCCAGATGCTCGAGCTGCAACTCCGTCTGGGACAGCCAGCACCCGAAACACGCCCCGGCCCCACGTGGTTCTTGGCGCGGGCAGGCGCGGAACGCTTCTTCCGGGATCGGCTTCCGGGGAGTCCGTTTGGCAGAACACCGCTCGCCCACGCTTCCGCTTGGGAGTCGGGTGTCATTCTAAGGAGCAACGTTCCGACGTTTAACTTCCGACACTGCGTTTTCTTGCTCTTCCGGCACGCTGCCTTTTTTTTTTTTTTTTTTCCTTCTTTTTCAAGATTCTATGACTCATTTCCTTCGTTCAGGAGTAAATTGGCTTCCCGAGAGGTGGCGCTCCCACTTTGCCTGAAGTCTGAACGGGCGCTTGACCTAGAAGGAGCCGCGTCTTTCTCACTTTACTCATTCTTTCCAGTCCATCAAGCACTGCATTATTGAGTACCTACTATGTGCCAGACACTATTCCACAGCCTGGGGGCATAGCAGTAAACTCTTTTGGAGCTTCTGGTAGGGTAGGGAGTGGGGAACAAGGAATAAACAAATGAGCAAATTGATGTGTAATACTTTGCATTATATTAGCGCTGTAAAGAAAAAGTAGGGCAAGGGAGAAAGATGGAAGGAGAGGACTACCCTAAAAGGCTGGTTGGGAAAATTGTCTCTGAGGAAGCGACAGTGGAATAGAGCTGCATGAAATGAGGTTACAAGTCTGGTGATTATCTGACAGCAGAGTATCACAGTGTGCAGATAGTGATGGAAAATGCCATTGGAGGGGCGCCTGGGTGGCTCAGTCCGTTGAGCTTCTAACTCTTGATTTAGACGCAGACTCAAGTCTTGATCTTAGGCAGGTGAGTTCCAGCTCCACATAAGCCTCTCATTGATAGTGAAAAGCCTGCTTGGTATTCTCTCTCTCTGTCTGAGAATGAATAAATAAACTTTAAATTAAAACCACAATGAGGGGCGTCTGGGTGGCTCAATCGATTAAAGTGTCTGACTTCGGCTCCGGTCCTGATCTCGCGGTTCGTGGGTTCGAGCCCCGAGTCGGGCTCCGTGCTGACAACTCAGAGCCTGGAGCCTGCTTCAGATTCTGTGTCTCCCTCTTTCTCTCTGACCCTCCCCTGCTCATGCTGTCTCTCTCTCTCTCTCTGAAATAAATAAAAAACATTTTTAAAAAACACACAATGAGATATCACTACACACCTATGGCTAAAAAATAAAAATATAGTAAGAGTGCCCATTGGCTCAGTGGGTAGAGCATGAGACTTTTTTATATCGCTGTGGTGAGGCTGTGAGTTTGAGCCCCGAGAGGGAATAGAGTTTACTTTAAAATAGAAAAAAAAAAAAAGTGCCAATACTGTCAAGGAGGTGGAGGACCTGGACTTACTCATATATTACTGATGGGAATGTAAAAAGAATGGTATGGCCAGTCTAGAAAAGTTTGGCCGTTTCTTATAAAACTACCTAGGCACTTAACGTATGACCCAATAATTGCACGCTTGGGTGTTTATCCCAGAGAAATTAAAGATTTATGTTCTGTTTACACAAAATCCTGTATTCAAATGTTCCTAGCAGCTTTGTTTGTAATAGCCAAGAACTGGAAACAACCCAAATGTCCATCAAGTGAAATCTTGAACAAATTATAGTCCATCCATACCATGGAACACTACTCAATTAAAAAAAATGGGGGGGGGGGACTATTGACACACCAATTTGGATAAATCTCATGAGAGATTATGCTAAGTGAAAAACAGCCAATCACAAAAGGTCATATACTATATTATTGTGTATATATAAGGTTCTTGAATTCACAAAATTCTAAAGATAGAGAATTCATTAGGGGTGTCTAGGAGTCAGAGTGGGAGAGAGGGCATGAGTGTATTCCTAAAGGGGTGGTACAAGGCAATCTTAGAGTGATGCACTAGTTCTGTATCTTGATTCTTTTATTTTATTTTATTTTATTTTTTAATTTTTAATGTTTTTTATTTATTTTTGAGAGAGAGTGTTTGTGTATGTGTGTGAGCAGGGGAGGGCCAGAGAGAGAGGGAGACACAGAATTCGAAGACAGACTCCAGGCTCCGAGCTAGCTGTCAGCACAGAGCCCGACGCGGGGCTCAAACCCACGAACCGTGAGATCATGACCTGAGCTGAAGTCGGACGCTCAACCGACTGAGCCACCCAGGCGCCCCTTGATTCTTTTAAAAAACAATTTTTTTTAATGTTTTTATTTCTGAGAGAGAGAGAGAGATACAGCATGAGCAGGGGAGGGTTAGAAAGAGAGGGAGATACAGAATTTGAAGCAGTCTCCAGGCTCTGAGCTGGCAGTCAGCACAGAGCCTGATGCAGGGCTTGAACCCACGAACCGTGAGATCATGAACTGAGCTGAAGTCAGACACTTGCTTAACCGACTGAGACACCCAGGTGCCCCTGTATCTTGATTCTTGATTGTGGTGACAGTTACATGAATCTACACATGTAATAAAGTTGCATAGAACTATACACACACTCTAATGAAGGCATGTGAAACTGATGAGATCTGACTAAACTCTGTGAATTATAGCGATGTTGATTTCCTGGTTTTGTTATTGTTCTATAGTTACACAAGATGTTAACATTAGAGAACACTGGGTGAAAGATACATGGGACTTCCTTGTATGTTTTTTTGTTTTGGTTTCGTTTGGTTTTTTGTTTTTTGTTTATGGTTGCTTTGTTTATGCAGCTTCCCATAAATCTTTTCTTTTTTAATCTTTTTAAATTTTATTTATTTTTTTAAAGTGAGCTCTATACCCAATGTGGGGCTTGAACTCACAACCTTAAGATCAACAGTCCCATGCTCCACTGACTGAGCCAGCCAGGCACCTTACAATTTCCCATAAATCTATAGTCATTTCAAAAAAAAAAATTAAAAAAACGGTTTAAAGGGGCACTTGGCTGACTTAGTTAGAAGAGTGTGCAACTCTTGATCTCAGGGTGGTGAGTTCAAGCCACACGTTGGGTATAGAGATTCTTAAGAAAAGTAAATAAACTAAAAAAGAAAAGGGCCCTTGGATGGCTCAGTTGGAAGAGCATGCAACTCGATCTCAGGGTTGTGAGTTTGAGCCTCACGTTGGATGTAGAGATTACTTAAAAATAAAGGCTTAGAGGGGTGCCTGGGTGGTTTAGTCCAATAAAGGTCTGACTCTTGATCTTGCCTCAAGTCATGAACTCACAGTTCAAGTTTGAGCCCCGTGTTGGGCTCTGCACTAACAGTGCAGGGCCTGTTTGGAGTTCTCTCTCCCTCTCTCTGCCTCTACCACACTTGTGTCCTCTCTCTCTCTCTCTCTCAAAACAAATAAATAAACATTAAAATTTTTGAATAAAAATAAAAAACTGAAAGCTTAGGGGTGCCTGGATGGCTCAGTTGTTTGAGCATCTGATTCTTGGTTTCTGCTCAGATCATGATCTCATAGGTTGGTAAGTTCCAGCCCTGCATCAGTCTCTCTCTCGTTCTCTCTGTCTCTCCCTCCCTCTCTGCCCTTCTGCCCCCCAAATAAATAAACTTAAAAAATAAAATAAAATAAAATAAAATAAAATAAAATAAAAGCTTAGGGGTACCTCTGAAAGTAGGTAGAGGATGTGACTCTTGAGCTTCGGATCATGGTTTTGAGCCCCATGTTGGGCCTAGAGCTTACCTAATTATAAGAAAGAAAGAAAGAAAGAGAGAGAGAAAGTGAGGAAGAGAGAAAGAAAGGAAGGGAGAAAGAGAAGGAGGGAGAGAGGGAGGGAAGGAGGAAAGAAAGTGTCCCTGAGTGGCTCAGTTGGTGAAAGCATCTGACTACAGTCCAGGTCATGATCTTGAGGCTTGGGAGTTCAAGCCCCACATCAGGCTCTCTGTTGTCAGCACAGAGCCCACTTCAGATTCTCTGTCCCCCTCTCTCTCTGCCCTCCCCCCCGCTCAAAAATAAATAAACTTTCTTTTTAAAAAAAAACGGAACTTAGGGATGCCTGGGTGGCTCAGTTGGTTAAGCGTCTGACTTTGGCTCAGGTCATGATCTCACAGTTCGTGGGTTCGAGCCCCGCGTCAGGCTCTGTGCTGACAGCTAGCTCAAAGCCTGGAGCCTGTCTTCGGATTCTGTGTCTCCCTCTCTCTCTAACCCTCCCCTGCTCACGCTGTCTCTATCTCTCTCTCAAAAATAAATAAAACATTAAAATTTTTTTTAACGGAACTTAAAAAATATTTTTAACATGTTGATGTTTTTTAAGAGAAAGAGAGTTTGAGCTAGGGAGAAGGGCAGAGAGAGGGAGAGAGAGAGAGAGAGAGAGAGAGAGAGAGAACCTTAAGCAGGCTCTATGCTCAGCTCAGAGTCTGAAGTAGGGGTTGATCCCATGACTTGTAAGATCATGGCCTGAGCCCAAATCAAAAGTAAGACGCTCAACCAACTGAAACACCCAGGTGCCCCCCTCCACCGCCAAATTTTTTAAATGGAATCAGAAAATCTGATTGAGACTACACTGTTAATCCAAGTAGGAGATGATGATGATGATGACAAAGGAGAGAGAGACAAATGGTTAGTATAGGATATATATTCAAGATTAAGCCCATAGGTCTTACTGATGGGTAGGATGTGGGACATGGGGGGGTGGGGAATGGATGTTGGTTCCTAATTTTCTTTTTTTTTTAGATTTTTTTTTTAAATTAAATTTTATTTTAGAGACAATGAGAGTGCATGAGCAGGGGAGAGGGAGAGAGAGAGAATCTTAAGCAGGCTCCACTGTCAGTGCCCACAACCCTGGGATCATGACCTGAGCCAAAATCAAGAGTAGGACACTTGAGCCACCCAGGCACCCCAATATTTTATTTTAGTTTTTTTTTAATACTTATTCTTAGTTTAT